TGACGACCGCACAGAGTAGCATTATAACAGAACTTTCAAACGTATCTAGTATGATAAAACAGCGCTGCTTTACCCCACATACGCACGACCAGAAGGAGCGGAAGCGCTAAAGTGTGGCATAATAAAAGCTCCGCTACTTTCGAGCCATGTGTCACTCTCGTCTCTCATTAGCAATTGCTTCAGCAGCCTAGTTTCGCTTCGACGGCTTTCCGCCTCACTCTGCTTCATACTACGATGTTAATAAATCTTTAATTCATTAGCTTATCCATGAACATGATTTCTGCCTGAGTCCCGTCGGACTGCGTTGGCTGTGGGGATGAAGACGACAACTCCCATGATTCCACACTCAGTCACGGCGTCATCAAACTACGCCTTTGTTTCTTTGTTTGTTTTGAATGCGCACCCTCTAGCGGTGAAAACTTACATATTGTACCTTTAATTAAACAACTTAAGACACAACATAAAACTCTAAAGTACATAAGTGAAAAGAAAAAACTAAGAATAAACAGTTTCCTATCGAATGGTCTATCCTGTTGTGTGGAACGCATATGGAGGAAACTCCTGCTTACTCTGATACTGAAGCCTGATTTGTTCACGTTCATGTAACTGCACAAACAAATGGCACACATGACAGGCAGACCCAGACTCATTTAAAGACATACACACATTAAAACAGGTAAGAGGAATAAAATGGCTAAGACATGATGTAAATCAGAAAACTCACATATTTATAAAACTATCATAATACATATTGAGTGGATTAAAACGTCCCTGTCCAAGTCCTAAAGCCTTTAAGGAGCTGTGCACAGCGACCATGGCCAATTTGATGGTGCTGGAGCGCCACCTTTGGCTGAATTTAACAGAGATCAGGGACGCTGACAGAGTCTCATTCCTTGACTCCCCAGTCTTTCCAAAGGGATTGTTCTGCTTTGACGTGGATGGATTTGCCAAATGCTTTAAGGCAGCGCAGAAGTCATCACAGGCCATGTGTCACTTACTGCCCAAGCGATCCAGTTCAGCGTCTGCTTCAAGCCTCCAGAAGGCTCCATCTATGCAGCAGCCTGCTAAATCCGCGCCCTCAGTGACCCAGCCTCAATTCAAACCTGAGCCTGGGCTTACACAGTACTTTCAGGTGGTGAAACACTACCCGTTTCCCAAGCACCAAGGACCCCACCCATGAGTGACGCTGGATCCTGAGCCTCAAAAGCTATCCTGATCAGTATGCAGAGAGGAAGAGGAGACGGCCAAGTCTCGCCGAAGCCGGACTTCCTTCAAAGAAAGCTTGCGTCTGCTCTCCATTCCCCCGCCTAGAGGGCGATGGAAGATCTGTTCAAATTGGACCCACCCTTCAGTGCGTGCCCAACAAAATTACCGCTGTGATAGCGGACCCACATACTCAAAAGAGCATTTCTCCTCTACTCATTACCACAAATGTCCATTCCCCGCCCCCGTGCGGCGACCTGTCAATCAAGAAACTCAGACCGCTTGCCACCCGCCTCCAGGCTTGGTAAGCCATCCCGGATGTGTCAAGCTGGGTTATAAAAACCATAGAACGAGGTTACTCGCTCCAGTTCGCTCGCAGGCCACCTCGCTTCAGAGGTATTATTCAAACTTCGGTACAGGACAACAATGCTCACGTTCTCCAGCCCGAAGTGCAAACTTTGCTTGCAAAAGGATCTGTGGATGGTTGGCAGAGGTAGACCTCTTCACATCAGAAGACAACGTTCACTGCCCAATTCATTTTTTGAAGCAGCGAGATGCCCTGGCCCACGAATGGCCCAGCACTCGCTTGTATGCCTTCCCCCCAGTTGCCCTGCTCCCTCAGGTCATCAGACGGGTCAGGGAAGTCAGATGCTTGGTCCTCCTGGTGGCCCCTTGGCCGATACCATTGAGAAGAGACCTCCTCTCACAAGCGAGAGGCAGTGGCTGGCCCGTCAGTTAGCAAAAACAACCTTGTTGTTAAGTTTCTGAGGGGAGCTCGGAGACTGAATTCACCTTGTCCTCATACTGTGCCGACCTGGGACTTATCTGTAGTCCTTTGAGCCGCTCCAGGCAGCCGATTTGTGGCACCTGTCGCTCAAGACCGCCCTCCTTTTGGCATTAATGTTGGTCAAGCGAGTATGTGACCTAACGACTGTAAAGTCATCCTCAAACCAAGACACGGCTATGTGCCTAAGGTGCTCTCAACCCCGTTCAGAGCATAGGTCATTACCCTTCTCGTGCTATAAGGCTGCACGTAAGTCGATGGCTGTCGCTGACAGTCGAAAGATTCTGATGAATGGTGCTCTGAGCCGACTTATATAGTGGTCGGCTCCTCCCCTTTTGGCGGGTTGAAGCACCATATGTTCGTGCAGTTACACGAACGTGAACAAATCAGGCTTCAGCATCAAAGTAAACAGGAGTTTCCTCCATATGCGTTCAATGCAACACTCATTCCCTTATCTCAGGGAACCGAGGTTACTTTAGTAACCGGAGCGTTATTTCAATTACATGAAATGTCCCATTAGATTTTTAGTTTCTCACAGTATAGAATAAGGGAACTTACTGTTCACAAGTTAACAGGTTTTCACTATTAAAATTACAATGTGTGTACCGATACAAGAGGTCTGAAACAAGCACAACTATGTAAGAAATAGAATGCCTGGGACAAGAGCCAGCTCTATAGTTTAGCGGTCATTTTACAAAAATATTTGACTGCAGAATGCAGTGATCGACCAGTCAGAATGGAGTATTCTAGATAGCCGTGTAATGAATTATGAGAGCATATGTTGGGGTGACTCCTGAATGAAGGTGTTATTCTCGGATTCATTTGCTAGACAGGACCGTATTATTCCCCATTTCAGAACGCACTCTCACATTAAACTGCATTAATTTATAGCATGTTGTTGGGAATAAGCTGTCAGCTGGAGCGCCGACGTTTCAACCTGATACTTACTGACACAGCCATCTGTGACCACCTTATTTCCATCATCACACTCCTCTCCGTTCTCAACTTGCACAATGCTGTCTCCACAGAAACCCTCCTGGTCAGGATCACGCTCCATCGACTGGAACGGTATTAACTGCAATCAAAGAGTCTTTTACAGACCGTAGAAACTAAATTCACTATATGTGTAAAACTATTAAGAAATAAGATGTCTGTCAAAAACAGTCTGTAACGACTGTAATTGGGTGGTTGACATGAAATTCTTTTGGGAAGTTGACCTGTTAACATGCTACAATTCATATTTTATTTTATTTTTTGCTAATGCATTTATAATTACTATATATACCGTTTTATGATGCCATTTGACAAGCTACATGGAATATTTGCAATTTAAAAAAATTAATTTGTTATGTTTAAAGGGGTCATATGATGTTGCTAAAAAGAACATTATTTTGTGTATTTGGTGTAATTAAATGTGTTTATGCGGTTTAAGGTTCAAAAAACACATTATTTTCCACATACTGTACATTATTGTTTCTCCTCTATGCCCCGCCTTTCTGAAACACGTCGATTTTTACAAAGCTCATCGGTCAGAAAA